ATTTGACATATTTTTATCACTTTAAACGTTATTATTATTGGGTATTCGTATTTTAGTAGACGTTCCATGCAAAACATTATATTTATTTATTTTTACCTACCGCCCTGATATTTCGATAAAGCTTATTAAAAAAAAAGTTGCACTTTTTGGTTGGAATCAAACCTGCATTCCTCAGGACAGAGAACACACACACATACACACACACACACACACACACACATATATATATATATATATATATATATATATATACCGAGTGTAACAGCAAAATTGCCCAAATCGTGTACAGCATAGAATAATTGTCCATTTTACAAAACTTTTAATATCTAAAAATTATTAAATTAATTGAGTTTCTTTTTTTCCAGGTATTCAGATAAGACGTTTAGCCATATTGACACCACTTGTCGTAAGAATCACTGAAAATCCATTTGAGTTATTCAGCTAGAAAGAGAACAAGTTGAAATCGTTTTGTCTCATTCCCACTATATCTTCAGTGAGCAATGGTAAGAGGGAAAAGATCATTCAATCCTTCAGTAATGGTACAGACATTCATATTCTGGCTTCCATCTTCAAAGCCCATTCAAGAGCCATCAAGAGAACGATGAATAAATTTTAAAAATTGGGAGTTGTGGAGAGGTAAACTGTATCAGCAAGTGAGGTCATCATTTCAACCTAGAGCTAAATACATTCTTATTGTTCAATGTAGACTCCAATAGTGTTACAAAAAACCTCGGAGCAATCCAGTAAGATATCTTTAATCATTTCTAGAATACAACGTTTCAAATCTTGATCTAACAATTGGACAATTTTTGCTGTTACACGATTTGGAGAACTTTGCTGTATATATATATATATATATATATATATATGTGTATATATATATATATATATATATATATATATATATATATATATAGTAATTAAAAATCCGTTGATATATAATCCAAGTTGATCCTAGTAATATCCAAGTGCATACCCTAGTAATATCCAAGTAGATCCTAGTAATATGAAAATATTAGAACTGATCCACAAAAAAGAGCTCAGCGTATTTTATTTAATTTTGGGGGTTTAGTGACTGAATCTAACCAACGTCTTTATCCATTGTGCCATGTGTCATTGAGCACAAAGAGCTGTGAGTTCAATACCAGGCCACAGCGGTGTTGAACCAAAAATCTGGGAGAATTGAGTTAAAGGGAAATAACTGAGACATCTGAACGAGTCATGGCACGTGGAAATAGAACAATCTACCCCAGTGGACGAAATAACCTTAAAGGGTTCGGTTCGAAATTCTAATTAACTGAAGAAGGCCGGAAACGTTGTGAATATGGCAATGAAGACGAGGATATCAGTTAGAATAATTTAAATAATGCAAGTAGGTTTCTTTGCTTACTCTAGTCACTAATACTGTTGAATCTTTGCTGTTATATTTCTTTATTTATTAAAGGCTCCGGTATCATAAATATTGTAAAAATGTTTGCAATCCAACGCTTTCAACCATACTTCTGTCAATTTTTGAAATATTTCTAAATTCGTCATTATAGTTGTTTTGGTGTCCTGAATCTAATGTTGGACTCTTCCGTCTACTATAATGTTTATAGAAGAGAAGGCCTTGTGGGAACGGTCAACCAGACTGTTCATTGCTGTAGAACTCTCTGTCTCGGCAGAGAGGAATCCGGGCGAAGCTTTGTCGCAGGGCAAAGTTTCGTCCGGGGAGGTAGACAGTCCCTGAACCCGTTTAGGCGGGTTTAAAGGGAATATTTTTGACCGAGCCTACGGGCTCGGAGAACCCACGTTAAACTCGGCCTTGTGCCAAATACATCCCTCGTGGGCGGTGGGTGCTGTTAAATATTAACAGTCAAATGGATCTGTTCGCACTGTGCTGTCCAACTCTCTGCCTTTGGGCAGACAGCAACCCTGACGAGGCTTTGCCGAAGGGCAAAGTTTCGTACGGAGAGGTAGACAGGCCTTGACCTGTTTATGCGGGTTCTACGGGAATGTTTTTGGCCGAGCCCATGGGCTCGGAGAACACACGGTAAACTCGGTTTGTGCCACATACATCCCTCGTGGGGGGGCTGCTAAATATTAACAGTCAAATAGATTGAACGCTGGATCAACCGACACACCCTCACTAGTTGGGGCACCTTGAAGTGGTGTAATGGTTAGAAATCTCGTCTTGCTAGATCAGTTACTACTGAAAAGTGAGTTCGATCCTCACTGGATGCCTTATGCTTTCGGCCTTGTGCCACATCTAAGCTTCGCTTGGAAAATCTTACACCCTGACTAGTCATATAATACTCTTCTGTTGTACTTACTGTTTAATATATGATATATCTGTAACACTTGTTTTGTTAATTATTTAACCATTATGGCGACGTCATGAGGTGACATAGGATCGAAGTTTTTAACTTGGCTAAAGTTATCGATCAATTATTAAATCTCTCTATGCCTCTTGATTTCTTGGGGAAAATAAGAACGCAACAACGCGACTCAGCTCCTCCTCGGCATCTTGTTGTTTGTGGGAGAGAAGGCTGATGTACTCTGCGTAGTTGGTAAATACTTTACACAGACACACACACACGCAACTCATTTTTTCGAACGGCGAAAAGTATAATCGGATAAAATTTCGAAATAATATACTTTCATGAATGTATTTCTATTGTCAATAATTTTAAACCTTGTCAGGATCATATATTATTGCCTGCTGCCTGAGGCATCCCCACCCTCTTTACCAATTGAATACGAAGGGAATGAGGGCAGAGTCTACTCTGTGCTCATGATATGGCGTGGCCGTGTCATGCTCCAATTACTGACCTTTGTTTCTTTTCATTTTTCATTTCTTTGTTTCAAATTTTTCTTTCTTTGTCTTTCTTTTTGTCATTTTCCCATTACACTCCTTTATTTCTTTTTATTTTTCATTTCTTTGTTTGAAATTTCTCTTTGTCTTTCTTTCTTTCTGCCATGCTCTAATTACTCTCCTATATTTCTTTTCATTTCATTGTTTCAGTTTTTTTCTTTGTCTTTCTTTCTAACTTTGTTTGTTTGTTTGTTTCTTTCTCTTTCTTTCTGTCATGCTCTAATTACTATCCTTTGTTTCTTTTCATTTCATTATTTCAGATTTTTTTCTTTGTCTTTCTTTCTAACTTTGTTTGTTTCTTTCTTTCTTTCTTTCTTTCTTTCTCTTTCTTTCTAACTTTGTTTCTTTCTTTCTTTCTTTCATGTTCCCATTACATTCCTTTGTTTATTTTCATTTTTCATTTCATTGTTTCAAATTTTTCTTTGTCTTTCTTTCTTTCTTACTTTCTTTCTTACTTTCTTTCTTTCATTAATCTTCTTTGCTTCTTTTCATTTTTTCATTTCTTTCTTTCTTTCTTTCTTTCTTTCTTTCTTTACTCTTTTTTGTTTCTTTTCATTTTCCTTTCTTTGTTTTTAGATTTTTCTTTCATTCTCTTTCTTTCTTTCCTTCTTTCTTTTCATTTTTCCTTTGTCAATAATTTTAAACCCTGTCGGGATCATATATTATTGCCCGCTGCCTGAGGCATCCCAAAAAGTGCATACGTTAAGTGGGTAGCAATTTTCCCAAGGTAATGCCGTTAAATCAACTTTAAACTGACCTTCTGTCACATGAAAAATATAACGCAAAAAATTCAATGTACACGGTGCTCCGAAAGTTTTGCCACACCCTACATAATATAATTTTCTATTTCATATGGCTCACACGAGCTCCTACAGGTTGGAAGAGAGATGGATGTGACAAAACTTTTGGACCACACTTGGGAGCACTACATGCACGTGTTCTACAGCCATTTTAAATTGTCCTTTTGATTTGTTTTGTAAAATCATTGCTGAAATCATATCAAGGCATTTTGCTCTTTTTCATTTCATTTATTTGCCAATCAACACCTTCAACAAACGTTTACTTTACTTCTTTAAAAATATTTGAAAAAAATATATAACAAACGATAGTACCTGTTCTGTTTGACCAGATTCCAACAAAACATTCTTTGGCCAACAGAGTGAAATAGCGTTGATGTGGGTGTAATGGAAGCCTTGAGCTAGTGCAATAAAAGATCAAGTTTAATACGATTTGACAGTGCAAATATAATTCCGTGAATAGTTACATGAAATGAGCTACTGATGTAAAACAATTAATGGGGTGCCTAGAAATAGAGAGAAAACATGCTGAGCTTCTCCACTCTTCAAGGCCCACTTTATGCATTAGTGTATCTTCGATATACTAACGCCTTAAGATAGAAGGAAGGACTAAATCAGTTCACACTCTTCTACGGTCTTTTGAGCAGGAGTAGAGTTTTATCTGTTGTTTTTTGTTTAGGAGTTTATTCCATCATGCAACAGTTCTGGGGAGTAAGCTCTCTAAGTGGAACTTCCTCCTTACCAATGGAAGGGAATGAGGATGAGTTTACCCTGTGTATATAGTATGGCGTGGTTGAGCTGTGAAGGTCTGGACTGATGGAACCAAGGAATGTAGTTCACCATGAAAATAGCGATAGAATAACGAAAATCTAGCAAGATTTCGTCTGCGTGAAAGGGGTTGTAGCGTGGAAAGTAATTCTTTACCAACGAATTATTTCAAACGCAATCAAAGTAGGAAAGTGAAGATTGGGTAGCTCCAGCCCAGATGTGGCATCAGTACTCTATTTTTTTATTATCTGGCTCTTGTAAACATAGAACATGGCAGAAGGTGTTAGATACTTTCTGACACGGTCCAAGGTACCAACCATTTTCCCAGTATTTTTTAGAGAAATAACGTTTGGAATACGTGTTTTTTCTTATAATTTTCTCCACGTATGAGTTTATATTCGGCTAAGGCTGTTGAGTTTTTTGAGCGTCGGCGCATTTGCCCTTAATGCTTTTTAAAGTTTGCGTTTCAAAACATAATATAAACTATATGAATTCTTTTTGTTGAATCGAACAGGATAAAAATACCTGTTCCTTCAATTTATCTCTGTCTGTTCATTTCTTTTTTCCTTTCTTTCTTTTAGATTTTTCTTTTTCTTTCTTTCTTTCTTTACACTTCTTTGTTTCTTTTCATTTTTTTCCTTTCTTTTAGATTTTTTCTTTTTTTCTTTCTTTCTTTCTTTCTTTCTTTCTTTCTTTCTTTCTTTTCATTTTTTCTTTTTTGTCTTAGATTTTCCTTTCCTTTCTTTCTTTCTTTCTTTCTTTCTTTCTTTACTCTTCTCAGTTTCTTTTCATTTTTTCTTTTCTTTGTTTCAGATTTTCTTTCTTTTTTCTTTCTTTCCTCCCTTCATTCTGTCTTTCTTTCTTTTTTTTCTTTCCCTCTTCCTTTCATGTTTCCATTACTTTTTGTTTTGTTTTTTTCATTTTTTCTTCTCCTTTTTCAGATTTTTCTTTCTATTTCTTTCTTTCCTTTCTTTGTTGCTTTCTTTCTTTCATGTTTCCATTCTTCTTCTTCTTTTTTCCCTTCTTTCTTTCAGATTTTTCTTCTTTTCTTTTTCTTTTTCTCTTTCTTTCTTTCTTTCTTATTTTTCTATCTATTTGGTAACAGCCTGGAAATATCAGTGGCTTAAGCATGGGTGTGTGGGTGGTGTAATGGATAATGGCTCGGAATTTGAAGTCGATGTTCCGAGTCCCACTTCCTGTCGGGCTGGTTATATTCCCTTATACCCTTGGGAATAGTATGATTCGATCTCTTCTCCACACACCAGCTATAGTTTAGTTCTTAAGATATGTATCATTAAATCATTATTATCTAAAAAAAATTCTTACAATCTAAAAATATTTTCTGGCTTTAAATAACCTGCAAAGGGTTGATAAAACGTAAAAAACAGATCACTCAATCAATTGAAGTCTTCCTCTTCGTAGTAGCAGCTTCTATTTTACAATGCTACAAATAAATAGCAGCTAGTCAATAGGATACAACTTTATTACTCCAACTGTTGCATTGCTCTGCCACCATGTCCTTGCAGTTGCGTTAAATGTTGTCTAAAAATGGCGTTTAATAACATAACAGAAGCTTTATGAATTCTTCTTTAATTGTCGATACGAAAAGGATAAAATGCTGATGAAATGGTAAACGTAGGTTAAATATAGCGGCTACAAATTCTAAAAAGTCGATACGTATTATACATAGGAGATATTTTCTCAAAATTTCGTAGGCCAAAAATTATGGATGCGTATTATGCACGGTATATATACACGATTAATTGCGTTAGTAATATCATGCCCCGTGCGTGTGAGCAACTGTAAGGTCTTAGAGAAAAAAACTTTTATCCAATAATGCTTCACTCATTAAAATAAAAAATATGGAAAAAGATTTTGGAAATAATTTCTGTAGAATAGCATTCATTAGAGCGACATTTATCAGGATAGAAAGATATTGAAAAGAGACTCCGGTTCTTTATCACTACGTAAATCAGTAAAAGGATGAACCCGAAATGTGATTTGTAGGTCGTGAACACTATAATCAAGCAGATGCGGAAGTTTAAGCATCTAGACAGAGGACGGTAAGTGCGACGCCGAATTCCGTTTATGTATTGGGATGGCCAAGGACACATTCCAAAAGCTGAGTAGAGTATTGAGATATATGATTTCTTTGGTAATAAAGAAAAGAATACTGAGCTGTTACGTGACATCTGTCCTTCTTTACAACAGCGAATGTTTGACGATTCCCTCAATAATGAAGAAGAGACTCGAGGTCACAGAGATGTGGTTCTAGAGAAGGATGCTAAGGAATTCATGGACCGAGAGTGTGAGCAACGATGAGATCTTAGAGAGGATACAAACAAGGAGGAGGCTTATACTTAACACCAGGAAGAGGCAGCTGAAGTTTCTGGGACACGTATTGAGAAAGGAGTGAATGGAGAATCTGATACTCACGGTTCGAATAGAGGGAAAGAGAGACAAGGGAAAACAACGCATGACATACCTGGGGGCCTTAAGCAAGTGAATGACAGAAATTGGTCTGGGGAAGGAAGCAGAGGGAAGGAACTTGTTGAGGGCTGCAAGGGAGGCTTATACATAACATCAGGAAGAGGCAGGTGAAGTTTCTGGTACACTTATTGAGAAAGGGAGCTGGAGAGCCATGATCGCCTACATCCTGAAAGGACATGGCACATAAAAAGAAAGAAAGAAAGCCCAGTAGTTGTAGTTCTGTGCCAGATTAGAGTATAGTAAATCTAGAAAGGTCATCTAATTAATATCAAACGAAAATGAAAGTTACAATACATCTGTGCGGTCATAGCGACCATAGTAAAAATTTTAAGAATTCCTTTAAAGTTGCTTAAGTGATATTACGCATTGATGTCAAGGGGGGGGGGAGTATATTGAAAAAATAGCGAAAAACTGTCTTCTTTCTACAACTCCTTCTGTGTAAGGTTTAGTGAGATACCTAGATAGATAGATAGATAGATAGATAGATAGATAGATAGATAGATAGATAAACCTAGTGAGCCAGACAAACCTACCCTACTGACGATCCGCTTAGGTGAAACCTGGGTAGGTTTGTCTGGCTCACTAGGTTTATAGGGTCTGCTCTACGGTTGTATCGAGCTCTTTTGTTAGTTAGTTGTTTACTCGTGTCGGTTTTTTTTTTCTTTGGGCTTCAAACCTGTATCTGTGCGATTTTTTTCGACAGACTTTCATGTTTCTAGCTCTTTCTTTTTTTAAAACCTTTTTTTTTCCTTCGCGATTGATTTGATTATTGGCAAATCAAAAATTCGAAGGTTTTTCGAAACGAGTATAGTTACCTATATTTGTATTTATATATATATATATATATATATATATATATATATATATATATAGTCTTCCACAGGCAGACTGTTTCGCTGTATCACAGCTCGTCACTCTGGTTACACATGCGATTGCTTCAAGCCAGAATCGAACCCGACTGATTTGACATCAGTCGGGAACTCTTATCTTTAGGCCCTCAGAAAGGGAATTTTGAACGCGATATAAGCATTAACGGCTACCAGAGTGCTCAATTCATAGCGAAGAGCTTTTAGTGTTAATTTGCAGCAGCCGACAAATTCCCTTTCTTCCAAACTGCTCAACCTACGAGAGGGGATCTATATAGTCATCTCATAGCTCATCGCTGTGGCTAGACATTGCTTCAAGCCGGGATTATTATCAAAGCAAATTCAGAATCCACAGTATTCTTAATAAGTTATATACCGTACCTATGAACACCAATGGGTATGTCCCAATCCTCATAAATACGTTGGACCCGATTGTAAGTTGGGGTAATATACTAGCAGTGGTTTACCTACTTCACGCCGCTGGCGAGTATTGTATTTTGTTTATGTTATAAAGATTACCATTTCATTTCAACCTCCGTTTTGGTTATTTCTCATTCAGTAACCCTTTCTAGGTTACAACATCTGTCTATCTATCCATCTAGCTATCTCCGTGTTTTCGTTTTCTATCTACCTATATATCTATCTATCCCAGTCTCTTCATTATCTATTGTTATATACCATACCTATGAACACTAATGGGTATATCCCAATCCTCATAAATACGTTGTAAGTGTTGGTGTAATATGCTGTCTATGTAGTCCACCACTAGCAGTGGTTTACCTACTTCACGCCGCTGGCGAGTATTGTATTTTGTTGATGTTATAAAGATTACCATTTCATTTCCATTCTCCGTTTTAATTATTCCTCATTCAGTAACCCTTTCTAGGTTACATCACAAAGAGATCTGGAAATTTTTTTCTTTAACTTTTTAACGGTATCGTCATAAGAAAAAATCTTACTACGATGTACCGTTTTTGTCTGTGTTACAGTAACAAACACACTGATGAATTTAATAAATACTTAATAAAACAATAATTAGATAAATAAATTATTTTCTTATGCTATATTAGCCAGACCCATTTAAAAGATTACGGTTGGGTGTGGGGTTTGCAACTCCTCCTCCTAGAACCTACCTGTGACTGAAACTCAATCAGCATTATCTCTGTGATCACCCCCAGCAGAGCTCGTGGGGCGTGTCACCGAAAATATACGGAAAACTAACTCGTAGCACAAGCTTCAAACAGCAAAAGTAAAAATCAGGTTAGTTTATGTCCATCGGTTCTCGTGCGATCACCAAAGTTAAGCAACGCCGAGCCTGGTCAACACTTAGATGGTTGACCTCTTGAGAGTATGAGGTGCTGCAAACATGGATGTGTGGGTGGGGTAATGGATAACGGTACGGAATTCCAATTTCAGTTTGGTTCGTTTTATTCACTAACAGGCAAATACCAATGAGAAAGGTACAAATCCACGTTCTTCTCCCCCCCCCAGCTATGGGTTAATTAGTAGGACTTGTATCAATAAATAGTTATTATCGCCAATAAATTCTTACAATCTAAAAATATTCGCTGTCTTTATATAACTTGCTAATGACTGATAAGCCTTAAAAATCAATGAAAGAAAAAATCAGGTCTGGAGGATAGAATCTCAGAATCCTGTTTAAAGAGTTGGAAGTCAGATCAGGTGTCAAATGAAATGGAGATATGGAAGAGGCTAAATTAGGCCGATATCAAGTGAGACTATTACCAATTTCCGCCACGAGGACCTAGATTGCAAATCGACATAAAGAGTATCGTTAATGTTACGAGAGGCTATAAAATCTCCGGTGACATCTAAATGAATATCGACACGGTTGACCACAACAAATTTTAATTCCAAATGAGGAAAATTACTGACATCCAGAGTTACGCACTAAAAAACACGGCTGAAAATGACAAAGACATTTTACACCTGAAGATCGCCATGGGAGGCCTAATTAGAAAGGCAGGAGAGTACAAGAGAAAGAGAAAACATTATATCATTTTTCTACCTTTCAGTCGTATTCTTTTAGGACGTAAACGATCATGGCTCTCCCCAGCTTCCAGTCAACAATTTGCCCAAAAGCAAATGAAGTGTTTGTTTGTTTCCTTGCTTCTCTTGCTTTCAATATGCTCTGTGAGTGTTAGATTATCCAATCTTTTTCTCATATATTGATTATGGCTCTCCACATCTTCCTTTCATTGTTACTCTCAGCATAATTTATGACAACAATTTGTAGTATTTGTTTCTCAATCCATTTGTTAAAATTGTCAAATAAATTCAATTCTCTTTATATAAGTCATATTCCTTCAGGACGTGGGCGATCATGGGCCTCCACTAGCTCCTGTCTTTTTATGCTCTCGGCAATTCTTTCTCCTTTACGATCCCTCGTTGCGGTTATTGTTCCTCCATCAATTTTGCTTAAATTTGTCATGCAGATTCTCTCTCCCTTTCTATGTGCCATGACCCTTCAGGACGTGAAGGATCATGGTTCACCACACTCCGGCCTTTACTTAAATGTTTGTATCTATAAAAAAAAGAATGTATAAACATAAAAAGGTCTTAAAATAATTGTCGGACTTTGTCCATTTATTAATGTGTGACGTCATTTGTTTACATTTGGATCGAGCAGATATGAATGTATGAGAGAAATTAATGGAGAATTGTAGTTTAAAAACTGTAAAATCGACCTTGCTAACCGAAAGCCTCCTCTGTGGCTCAATCGGTAAAAGCACGTCAGGCTATATGACAGTTCCGTATAGGATAGAGGTTCGATTCCTGTCGACAGACGCATATTTTCTATGAAAATTTCTCAAATATTCAGGTCGTTAATACAGATTATTTTAAACAGAGCATTTACTTAAATATTTGTAACTATAAAAAGAACGTATAAACATAAAAAGTGTCTTAAAATAATTGTCGGACTTTGTCCATTACATAATGTATAACAATGTATATATATATATATATATATATATAAAATTATTTATTTAAAAATTAAAACATTATGTTGATTGTAGAATAATACAATCTACATTCAACATCATCACTTGATTAGACACCAGAGGTGTTGAAACAAAATGGCTATTTTTGTAGTGATTTTATATTTATGTTATAATTGTTAAATAAATAATTATATTCGCCCTACACTGTATTAAGCACTCGTTTAAGAATAGTAATTGTTGGTTATTGGAATGTATTCCGTATACACCAATCCTATACTTGGATATATATATATATATATATATATATATATATATATATATATATATATATATATATGTAATCAAATATATGGATATAGACCCTACAGTATGAAGATATATATATATATATATATATATATATATATATATATATATATATATATATCATATTTTTATAACAATAAAATATCTTAAAATAATTGTCGAAGCATGTCCATTTCGTAGTGTGTGAAGTCATTTGTTTACGTTTAGATACGCTTCGAGCAGATATGATCATTCGAGAGAAATCGACCTTGCTAACCAGACGCTCCTCTAACTGGTATAGCACGTCAGGCTATATGAAGGTTCCGTGTAGGATACTAGTTCGTTTCTTGTAGCATATTTTCTATGAAAATTTCTAGGACGTTCAGGCCGGTAAATGTTGTTAATACTGTTTATTATAAACAGATCATTTACTTAAACATTTGTGTCTACATAAATAACGTATAACAATAAATTATCTTACTTTATATATATATATATATGTGTGTGTGTGTGTGTGTGCGTGCGTGCGTGTGTAATTATACACAAACATAATTAACTATACATATTACCCTAAACACATTGAGAACTCCAGTCTGTTGAACAAATTTAAATATCTGTTTTAACAGAGGACGGAAATTGTGTATCTGAAATCCGAAGGCGTATTGGGATAGCCAAAGTTGCCTTCCAAAAGATAAGCAAAGTACTAAGAAACAGAAAAAAACTTTACTAGAAACAAGGAAAAGAGTACTGAACTGTTACGTGATATCTGTCTTCGTGTATGACAGCGAGCACTGGACACCCTCCTCAAAAATAAAGAAGTGATTTGAAGCAACAGAAGCAATGAGTAACGACGAGGTTTTAGAAAAAATGGAAAGAAAAAGGAAAATTAACACCAGGAAGAAACATTTGAGGTTTAGGAGGCACATAATGAGGAAGGAGGGCTTGGAAAATCTGATACTCACAGGACAGATAGACGGCAAGAGGGACAGAGGAAAACAACGCATAACATACTTAGTGAGCTTGAGTAAATGGATGGCGGTACACAGGGTTTAGGAGAAATAACAGAGAAAAAAAATTATTAAGTTACAAAGTTTGTGGAGAGCCATGATCGCCTACATTCTGAGGAAACACGGCACATAAAGAAGAAGAAGAAGAAGAAGAAAAAAGAAGAAGACGAAAAAGAAGAAGAAGAGAATACAAGTCTTACTAATTAATCCATAGCTAGGGGAAGAAGTGGATTCATACCATTCCCAAGGGTATTTGCGGAACTCGGCTCTCAGATTTCGAATTCCTCGCCGTTATCCATTACACCACCACCAGTTTCTGTAAGCGGTCACCCATCTAGGTATTGATCAGGATCGACGTTGCTTAACTTCAGCGATCTTATGAAAACCAGTGTTTCAACATATAAATATATTTGAAGCCCAATATATATATATATATATATATATATATATATATATATATATATATATATATGAAGGAATATAGTTTTAAGGTGTGTTATATTTATGGAATAAAGTGCTCAATATCAGATATATAGCGTATGTAAATATAAAAGTGAACATTGACGTCAACACTCAGAGGCCTCTGAGTGTTGACTTCAGTGTTCACTTTTTTATATATATATATATATATATATATATATATATATATATATCAAATATCAAAATGTGGTGCAGTTCAGTTCAAAAAGTAAATTTACAAATGATAGAAAATAGCGAAATCACTACGCTAACAAAATTTTAAAGATGCATTTACCTACAAATCACTCGCAGATGATTCTTGTTTTTGTTGTTTTTTTTTTAAATTATCAGTTGTATAATGTCTTTCTTTAAATCTCAAGTACTTTCGACTGTACATTCAGTCATCTTCAGGCATGGAAACTATTTTGTTTTTGGTAAAATTTAGGTAGCATCCGAGACGAAAAAATATAATGCGAATGAAAATTTTTTTTTTTTTTTTTTTAAATGTGTGATTGATAACGGATACAAAACTTTTGGAGCGTGCAGTCGCAACGCTAAGGTTGAATGACACCCTGCTAATTGTATACTAGACCCATGCATCACAGCCAAATATGCGCAATACCGTGACAGGTTTTGATAAAAGGATCAAACAGTTTCTTCTGCAGCACTTTTCGCTTATGGAACTCTCTTCCGACTTCTTGTTTCTCAGGCAAGTTTTTAAAAATATAAAAAAGTTTTTGTACAAACGACGTGAGAAAATGGCTGTAATGGCAATAACACGTCAGTACAAAAGAAACGCAGATATACATTCTGTTTACGCCTCGATTACCATTAATGCCGTTTTTTCAAGACAAGTGACCTTTGTACAGAGTTATAATTTTTGTAGATCTTTTTTATATTTTTATAATTGTATATAATTTTTAAACATTATTATTATGACCATTTCCTTTGATTTCTGTTTTATATTTTTCCTTCCAGAGACCTAAAGTCAGAAATGGCCTCATGACATTTTCCACAGCATATATGCATAAAAATAAAATAAAACAACATATAAACACGCACACATTTTTGCATAGATAAAAACTTTGGTAGAGTATGAGCTGTGCTTGTGAGAACAATTTTATATATTTCTAAGACATGGGATACCAGGGATCACTTCAGGGTGTCTATTAGGACCATTTCTGATCAAACCCAGGGCCCGAAACCACAACAGTTATTAGTGATGTTGTCATGCGCCATTTTCTTTTAATTTCTACTTAAAAATCTTATATTTTGATTGCTTTTTGAAGATAAAGCTACATTACAGTCTTCAGAAACAGCCATGTAAATAAAAAAATAACGCATTCTGTTTTTTTTTTTTTGTGGGGGGGGTCTTTGATCATTATGTCTATGCAGTTAGCTTTGATTGTTCTGTCAGTGTCTCTTGTAAAGTCCAATAAAATTGTTAAAGGTCCTATCTCTGTAATTAATTCTGGTTGGTGTTCATACTAATTTTATTGTTATTATTCTTATGTGTGGCATCATCTTGTCAGAGAGTAATTTTAAGTATTTAATTACCAAAAGTCCCCTCCGGTGTCTATGAGTAAAAAGGGCACTCTTGGAGAGATATTTATGCACAACTGGGACGTTTTGTTTAGATGGAGAGGAGGG